GAAGGAGGTGTTAAGGATGTTTCCTAGGTCTGCAGGCCTCACAACCAGAAAGTAGGAGATGGGAACACCAGAAGAGATTCAGGTTTAGTGGGGAATATTATGAGTTTGGTTTGGGGCATTTTGAGTTTGAATTGCCTTTCCCATCTACCAAAACCAGCAAGCATCTGCCCCTTTTCTCATCAACTATAGGTTATTCTGTATGCACTATGACTAAAGTAACACTATGCAAGATTTTACTGGTCTCTGATTGTCATGCTATGTAAAGCAGATTACGAGGGTCAAGACTGAGTCTCCCCTAGTCTTTAAAGCACTAAGTAGTTGGCACAAAGTATATGCATAACATTGCTGATAGATTTCTCATTTTCACAACAACATAGGCAACATTATTATTAATCTCATTTCACACATGAGGTGGCTCAGTGAGGGCCCAGTTATATAAAGAGTTTTTCTCAGTATCACTCAACTGATGAATAGGAGCAGGTCTGCCTGGCTCTATCTAATATCACAGATTCTCACCATTTGGCCATACTGCTTCCCTAGTTATATTCTTGTTAATCATTAACTGTTAAGAATCCTGCATTCCTCGTGTACATATATATGTGTGAAAAAAATTTCTAGGTCATTATATTTGAGAAGAAACGAGAGGATACACAGAAACAACTCCTTATAAAAGGAAATAATGTAAAACTAGTTATAATGAAGTCTAGTCTCTGACTTTAAAAAAAATCTAAAAATTTTAAACTCTCTTAGGCAAAGGTCACAAAATAAATACCAAATTCCAGGGAATGTAAAGCATCTCCTTAGGTAAATATTAGGTAGATGCTGTTCACTTCATAGAGTGCTATAAGCAGCAGCAAATGGGACTAAGAACTAGATCTGTGTCCTACTATTGGCTGTGTAACTAGGTGTGACAGTAGACAAGTTGCCAAACCTCTCAGATCTTCTGGTTTCTTCAACTATAAAATTAGGGAGATGAACTTATTCCAACCAGCTAAATACTATATCTGGATTTCCTAAGATTGGTGCAGTGAATGAATTTTTATAGATGAGTCATTTTTAAATGTTCCAGTAGGAAACTCATCTTTATAAAAATTATATAGGGAATTATTTGATAATCACCTAAGGCTACGTATTTTATAACTCTGGGAGTTTGCACATTTGCTTGACTTATAGAGGAGCATCCCCTTCTTCATTATTCTTCAAAGGTTGGAAAATCTTCACACTTCAAAACATGACAAAAAGTAACTACCCTCACTACCACCATGACCCTCCAGCCCAACAAGTGCTACAGCTGGGACTGCTCCCTTCATGCTCTTCCAGTTGGCTGACACTTGACCCATCTATTTACAGAAAGTCCATTAATCTGATTAGGGTTGGAATACCTGGTTGAAGCTGCTTTTGTTTTTGAGATCCTTAATAAAAATAATACATGGGTTGCAAAGTCTTGAGAATATGTTTCTGTCAGTCAGGAGAGTTAGATTTCCCCCAAAGCTGAAACTTAACAAGGAAACAGGAAATCAGAAAAGATAATAAAATGTGGAAATATGGGCAGAATACTAAGTCAAAGGAAATGTGACTTAAAGAAATATGACTTCAGATCTAAATGCCAAAATCAAAATTTTTAACTAAAAAGCTAGAGCTTGGTCTTACTCTTTCTCTGTTTCCTGAGGGACATGGGGATGGAGCCAAGGTAGAGAAGAATTAAAAATCCCAGGACATTGACTGAAAAAGTTATCAGCCTATAAAAAATGCCATTAACTATATTCACCATTAGCATTACTAGGTAAAAAGTTAGCTTAATGAGAAGCTTTGGACTGTATAATTTGGGAAGAAGTTGGACATATTTCTCATCTTAAGCATTTTTGTTATTGCAGTTGGATTTCAACTTATAATTGGTATTCCACATTGAAACAGCAATAAAAGTTTTGAAAATTAAATGCTTACCTTCCCCATCAAATGTTCCTTGTCCTTTCAGCATTTTTTTCTAAGAGACAAAAAAAAAAGCAAAAAAAAAAAAAAAAAAAAGGAAAAGCAAACTATGTATGAATGAGCCAAATACAAAATACAGCTATTTTAAGTACCTTTTTTTTTTTTTTTTGTCATTACATTAATTAGATTTCCAAGAGCACACAGAAGCTGAGCTCTGGAGGAGTTCACCCATTTGATAACTACAATTCACTGAAACAATGAAATAAAATGTACAAGGTCTCCCATACCCTGTCAAAACAGACTGAGAATCCTCAAATAACTAGCAGGTCAGCTCATTTTACTACTCGTGATTCACCATCACTGTTAAATTGAACTTTGCTATACTTGCAGAGTTGGAAAAAACACATAAAATGTTATGTAATTTCTTTAAGACCATGGGCTCTAAAATAAAACAGGCTTGCTTGTGTTTTGCATATGTGACATTTATATAGACTGGTTCCAGTGCTCTGATTAACCAAGAAAAAATGTGGCTGCCAAAAAGAATCTCTGCCCTATTGCTGAGATCTGTCTTGTTTCTGTGGAAGGCAGCATACACTCCAAAATATCCCTCTTCAGTTTTCCCTGTTTCTTTATGTCATATTTGGCAATATTTTAATAAGTGCAGCTAATGGGACAATACAGGGGAGCAATACCACACAGTGTCACCCTAACCTGAAGTTTTCAGCTGCCAATTTGTTAAATGCACTCAAGGATGAATGGGCATACAACGGGAATAAAACACAACCATAGGCCATGGTGACAAAAACAAGCAACAAAAAAGATGACAAAATATTTGTGTCTTTTGTGATCCTGGCAGTTGATTTGCAAATTCACATTCTACCTGAATGACATCAAGTGTATAGTAACCACTCAAAAAACAATTCAGTAAGTAAAAGCAAAAAAATAATCAACAGGCTCAAATAGGAATCAGCATTTTTCTGAATCAGCTGTGATAACAGCTACCATTGACTGAAACCTCTGAGCAAACTCCAGACAACTTGACTGCAGAGTGCGGGTCTGAGCATGCTCCTCCCCCTTTCAGCTATCTCTTTTAAAAGTGGTCAAGACTCACTCAGCCAATAATCTGCCATATTTCACTCTTGTCCCCCCAATTCTGCCTGAGCTTAGAAATTTAAAGGTGATGAATTTCACTTCTTCCAACAAAGCTGCACTAAACTCGGCTGTGCCGGCCAGCATCAAAGTGGCCAAGAGCTGGATGTACACTAGTAATCAACAGCAAAACACAGAATTAAAAGGGAATGACTTCTTCGGGTTTCCTCTATGCTCCTCCTCCTTACCCCCCAACACATTTACTTTTGGCTTAGTGAATGGCGTGTCACACTCCTGCCCACTTTTACCTTTATCCTTCCCAGACTGGAAAACTTCTCCTTGTCTTCCATCACTGCTTTCAGAACAGGCTGAGACATTCTGTTCTTCTTCTTCGAACTGGTAGGACTGTCAAAATCAAAGCCACTGACCACTGCCCTGCGATAAGACGTGGACCGCAAGCCTCTCCGCAGAGACCCTGGGCTATCCACGTCGTTATCGAACTCACTGTCCTCCCCTGCGTGACCCAGAGGTCCTCCTAGGCCCTCCACCATGCTGCGCACCTTGAGGAGTCTCTTGTGGGGCTCCACATTCTGATTGTTGGATTTACTTATTTTAATTTCCGAGGCCAGACTCTTTGGAATGATCTGCTGCTTCCCCACTTTGAGGGCGGCGGGGCTGTTTGTACTCAAAACCACGGAAGGATTCTCGAGGAGCTCGTTCTCCTGGGAGGGGAGCCTTTGGAGGGGAAGTTTTTGTTCTGAAGAACTTTTCTGGGGCGCAGGAGAGAGCCCCCGTTCGGGGTCCTTAGCCTTCTGGCCGGACTGCGAACCCGACCCAGGAGAATCGTTATTAGCGGCAAGGCCATTTGCAGTGGGCGAAGGCACCGGGCTGGCATTCAACCCAGTCGGGTCCTCTTCGGGGGTGCAGGGGGCGGGCGCGTTAGGAGTCCGCGGGGAGCGCAGAACCGGCGGCGGCGGCGCAGGCAAGGTCACCGGGCCGTTTGCTGGGGATTTCGGGGAGCCTCCCGGCACCGCTTTGGGGAGCTTGGGTGACTTGGGCCGTCGAAGTCGAGGAGAGGCAGCCCTGTACTCCGGGGATGCCGTCCCACCATTGGCCACCGCTCTCCGCTGGGCTCCCAGAAGCAGAGGGCTCCTATGTACCGTCCTGCTGTCCGAGTCGGTGGGCACCTGGGCGAGAGTCTGCGCTGCGGGGAGCGTCCCTCGGTCCTCCACCGGAAAATCCGTAATTAGCAACCCGTTGGGGCTCTGGTAGGACTGGGGCCTCGGCTTGCTCCGGCCCAGCAGCTGGGGCTGAGGAATCGACCGCCTCCGCCACAAAGGGGTTATGCTGTTGCTAGAAAAATCCACTTCGCTCTCGCCGTCCATAGCCGGGCCTCGAAGTCAGCCCCGGTAGGAGCAACACCGGGTCAGTCTTGCCTAAAGAGGAAAGAAGTTAGGAAACTGTGCCTGCGGATAGGCGGGGACGCCTGGCCGACTCGCGTGCTCCGAGTCCCGCGGTCCCCCTGCTGCTGCGCAGGACACGACTGCACCACACTTACCCGCCCTTTCTCGGGCAAAAACTGCACCACTGCGGTGCGCGGTCCCAGGCAGAAATCTGGGGTGCCGCCCAAATGGATTAATCCAATCAACTCCGCGTCCCTCCCACGCCAAAAGACCACCCGCACCAAACGAGCCCGCCACCAATTCACTGAGTGCAAGCCGAGGCACAAGAAACTTGGGACGAGTTCAGCTTTCTTGGGAAACTCGCCGCGGGACGCTCCCTTCTGTCGCCATCCAGCCGCCCGCCCTCATCGTGGGTACCCTCGTGCTCCAGATGCGCGGTTCCCAAGCAAATTTACCTTCTGGGACTTGCAATGTCCGGGGCCAAGGAGCACCCACTGCCCCGTGGGTGGCCCAGGTCCGGGACCGAAGCGCCGCCGCGAGAGCTTAGGAGAACGCCGCCGCCGACCGCGGCGCCGGCCCCGCCCCCACGCCTGACTACGCCCACACACTTGGCCCCGCCCCCGTTTCGGCCCCGCCCAGATCCGCCTCCGTTGCAGCCAGAAGCAAGAAGCTGTCTTCCCGCCCCCGCGCGCCTGCAATCATTAGCCCCAGTCTGCCTGGGAAACAGAGGAGCGCACCTGAGGTGGGTTCTGAGCTCCAGCCTTTGGGCTGGAAGTTGCGGACTAGTAGCTGCGGCGGCACTGGAGTGTAGGCGCGCGGGGTTGTTGCCGGGGCATAGCATGAGAACAAGCAAGGGAGTCCTGCTGAATTGCAGCTTAGGAAGCCCTGAATCCCGGAGGTGTGTTGAAACAGAACGCGCGGCGGAGTAGACTTTGTGAGACGCGTGGGTAGTAGCGCAGCATTCTAACGCAGAGTCATGCCCTCTCAGCATTCAGGTGGTCTTATCAGATGGGCTTGTTTCACTGTTGAAAATGCATTATAATATAAACAGATAGATGTGCTTGTTTGTGCCTAGAGTCTTTCCGTAGGAAAGACTGGCAGCTCTGAAGTGGGAAACAGGGTGACTAGGAAACCGGAGGGAGGGAGAGTTTTCATATAATTATTTTTGGTCCTTGTATGCTTTGAATCTTGAAATCTATCTATGAAAAATAAGCTCAGTTTACACTACAAAAATAGTATTGGTTTCTAACAGTACGTGGAGTAAAACTCAAAATCCTTACCATGGCTTACAAGAAGACAGTGCACTACTGCCGTAACTCTTCAGCCTAGTCTTTCCATCATCACTTTCTCCTTCATTTCACTTTCTCCTTCATTATTTTTTGGGCCACACTCAAAGTTTGACAGCCTCAGAACCTTCCCTTTCGTTCCTTCTTGACCTGACTTGACACTGCGTGAGAAAGGCAGTGTCCGCTCCTTAATTATACCATTGCCCCGTTTATTTTCCCAGTCACTTGTTCTCTTCTATTTCTGCACTTGTCAAATGTTGTATATTATATATATGTATTTATGTGTTTATGTTTATTGTCTGTTTTGTCTTTACAAGGTAATTTCCATGAGGGCAGGGGTCATGTTTTTGTTTTTTTTTTTCCTCCGTATTTCAGGTACATGGTAGGCACTTAATATTTATTTAATGAATGAGTGAATGAATGACAGGAATGAAGTGAAAACAGTGACCATTTCTTCCAAAGTGCTTGGTTGCCAAATAGTAGAAAGATGGCTGTGTCTTGGCCAGTCTCCTGCTGTGTGACAATAATCAGGCAAACTTGAGAAGACAAATAATTTTAGACCATAAGAGCTGTGTAATTGATTCTATTAGCAAGACATATGGGCCCTTCTCCAAGTTCTCTTTCAGCATTCATGCATTCAGCAGGGATGCAGTGAGCATCCACTGTGTGCAAGTTATGCTGCCTGTTTTTGCCCTAAATTGAGTGCAATGGCCAAAAATATTAAGATGTGATCTCTGGGTGGTGAGATGAAAGATAATATGTTTCATGCTTCTTTATATTTTTCTGTACTTACAAAATATACTGTGCAATGAAAATATATTACTTTGATCTGAGACATTTTCATAAACAAAGAAAAGGAGAAATGGCATCGAAAAATGTATAAGAAACCTTTTTTTTGGAGACGGAGTTTAGCTCTTGTTGCCCAGGCTGGAGTGCAATGACGTGAGCTTGGCGCACCACAACCTCCAGACCTCCCAGGTTCAAGCAGTTCTCCTGCCTCAGCCTCCCGAGTAGCTGGGATTACAGGCATGTGCCACCACGTCCGGCTAATTTTGTATTTTTAGTAGTGAAGGGGTTCTCCATGTTCGTCAGGCTCGGCTGGAACTCCCGACTGCAGGTGATCCGCCCACCTTGGCCTCCCAAAGTTCTGGGAATTACAGGTGTGAGCCACCGCTCCTGGCCTAAGAAAATTTTTAAAAAAGAAATTTTCCAAATTGGGCGGAAGACATATGGCTGATTACATACTCAGGCGTAGATACATAGACCTTTTTTTTTAAATATAAGGTGTTTTCTATACCAACATGTACTGCTGTTATGTTGGAAAAATATAATAAATTAATTTCAAAAGTGGTTACCTAATGAGAAATGGAGTATTCACCTAATTCAAAACGCAAACTGTGACCTATATTAAGAAGCTGTAAAAGGTGATTGAGAAGGCAGCTTTTCTTGAAATTATGTTGCCTCTACAAACAAGTGTAACTGATATTTGTGAAAACTTCATACGATCTTCTTACCTCATTTCCAACAAACAACAAAATACCTACCAAAACAACAACAAAACACCAAGCTCTGGTCCTTCACTGAGGGAAATTTACAAACTCACAGGCCTAGTGCCTATTCAATGTATTGGTATCTATTCAAATCTAAGATATCTTCAATTATATGTTCCACCAAGAAAGGAAAAGAGCTGCTAATAAAACTAAGACAAAATGTTATGTCATATCGAATTCTTACTTTATACTTACTGAGTACTTTTAGACACTTATACATAGATTTGTTTAGTACTGTGTATGTGTGGGAAAGAAAATATAAGCAAAATAAATTTACTGAAGTCCCGAACATTGAGCCTGATTCTTCTGAATACCTTTTCATGAAAAGCATTCCTATGTGAGTTTTTCCACACAATGTCATTGATAGTGCACCATTTCTTAAAAGGATGTTCCAGTCTTGTTTCTGGGATTTGCTTCCTAGACAATGACACTCATTCTGCAAATGTGATACTGGTACTATCCCATTTGACTAAACACGTAGTTTTCTTGTTCAACTGAATTGTATATCAATACAAGCTATGCAGCTTCTCTATTAATGTCCAGGAGAAAGTTTCTCACAAATTGTAGTTTCATGCCTCAACCATAGTCCTGCATGAAGCATGAATTGGTTATATCAACCTCCCTTTGCTTTGAAATTTCTTTCACCTAATCTGTCATATCTGGTAATTTCTCCTGCCTTCAATTGTGTTTCTTGGCATATGGCTTTGACACAGTAGGACTAAATTTCATAGAATTTAGTAGAAATGATGACAATTCATTTATGCCCATGTTCAAATATAGGCAATGCCAACTATATCATCACTGTCACCTGACCACTGGCTGTTTATTTGATAGTAAGACACATCCCATTTTCAGAGAAATTAGCATGTGGTACCAAATTGTTCTTAAAATTGAAGAAATATAGTATGTCGAACTATTTGTAATGATATTTTCCACTGGTATATTCCAATGGTATATAGAACTATTAGAATATTCAATGGTATAATGCAAGATATATATGGCTACATTTACTAAATGAATTCACATTGGTCACAAATTTTGTGTCCCAAGCACAATAATTAGGCTAATTTTTAAACACAAATTGTTAGCTTGTCTTATTACAATATATGTCCAGTTTTCCAATATATCCCATCCCATGCACCTTTTGTTTATACATTGAACAAATATTTATTGGGTGCATTCAAGTGCCAAGCATTATTAGGACAGACATTCCTGAACCTTACAGTTTGGCTCATGGAAACATGACTGAAACATTAAAATAGTAATGTAAGACACCCACACTGTGTAAGATGCATAGTAAGCTCTCTGTTCTATGGAAACCTTTGTGAAGGAGTCTGGATAAAACTGGCCCAGATGGGTAGGTAAAGTATCACAAGGTGGAGAAGAGGAGAATGATGTCACAGAAAGATGTCCCAGGATAAGCAAAAACACGGAGGGATGGCTGGAGAACTGATATTCATTAAGTGCCAACTGTATGTTAAGCTGTGTTGTTTGTTACACGTAACTTAATCACATATTAGTCTTAAGCCTACTTAAATGTGAAGCTGAAGCCCAAAAAGCTCTTCTCCTACTGTTGATAAGTGGGTGAATCAGAATCCTAAACTTTTTCTTTACAATACTCCAGAGCCCAGGCATCAAAACATGCAAGAAACTAAGCTCACCAAAACACAGTTTGCATTTAGAAGTTGTGGGATATTAATTTGGCTGAATTTGGTGAGAATAGAATGTGGTATGCAACAGAAACTGAGGGATTGAGATTTTGCCTGAATGACAACTAACTACTCTGATACGATTTGGCAGTTTGGCTCTGTGTCCCCATCCAAATCTCATCTCAAATTGTAATCCCCATGTGTTTATGGAGGGAGGTGATTGGATCATGGGGCAGTTTCCTCCATGCTGTTCTCATGATAGTGTGTGAGTTCTCAAGAGATCTTTTGGTTTTATAAGCATCTAACACTTCCCCTGCTTGCACTTCTCTCTTTTGCCACCCTGTGAAGAAGGTTCTTGCTTTCTCTTCACCTTCTGCCATGAGCGTTAAGTTTCCTGACGCTTCCCTGGCCATATGGAACTGTGAGTCCATTGAGCCTCTTTCCTTTACAAATTACCTAGTCTCAGGTAGTATCTTTTTAGGAGTATGAAAATGGACTAATACATACTCCTTGAAGATACTTAAACTTTGTCATCTACTAAAAAATGAATATGATGACACCAGTGTCAGAAATAAAAAACAAAACATTGACAGACTTGACAATTTAAACATTTTAGCCTTTGTGCATTGAGAAATGCCACATAAACCCATAAATTTTGAGGGAAATCTTCTGTTAGAAGGAAATTAGAGAAAAATGTTTAAATACGTATAAAATATAAATATAAATTAAAATATAAATATAAATAGTTGTATATTTAAATATATATTATATATTAAAAATACATATTATATATTAAAATATATATGACAGAGTGTTAAATGGCTATATCATACAATCAATAAGAATAAGATAACAAAAGTTGTAAAATGAACAGAGTAAGAATAAGCATTTTGGAGAAGGGTGTCCACTGTACATCAAAATATACTCAATCCCAATAATAAAAACAAAATTTAAGAAGTAATGAGATAATTTTTTCATTTATTAGATTAGCAAAGATTGTCTTTTTTTTTTTTTTTTTGAGATGGGGTCTCACTCTGTTGCCCAGGCTGGAGTGCAGTGGCGTGATCCTGGCTCACTGCAACCTCCACCTCCTGGGTACAAGCAGTTCTCTGCCTCAGCCTCCCAGGTAGCTGGGATTACAGGTGTCCGCCACCATACTCAGCTAATTTTTGTAGTTTTAGTAGAGATGGGGTTTCACCATCTTGGCCAGACTGGTCTTGAACTCCTGACCTCATGATCCACCAGCCTCGGCCTCCC